GAAAGCTTTTGTTTTTTTTTATCCCCACCCAACGATCCAATATTCATTCAAAGCGCATTTTCCTTTAAGGTTTGATTGCAGCCGTTTTTAACTGTGGGATGCTGATCAGTTGCAATTCTTTTTCCGAAAATCTGACCAAAACTAACAGCTATTATCATGAAAAAAACAGAAAGTGCTCCCCATTTTAAATCTGCTCTCTATTCCAAGGCGCAATAAAGACATTACATTTTAGACTATAATGACATATCATCAACGGTTGATATGATATTAATATCAACCGATGATGATATGTATTTGCGATATACTATTTCTCTGTAGTCTTTCCTTAGCTCTTTACTGTGCAGATATTTGTAATTCTAATGGGAAAGTATTCCAGGACTTTTTATGCTTTTTTGTACTATATACACTCTTTTTATATTGTCTGTCATATTTTTTACCTTTAATGGCATCTTGCTTTAACTTTTTGTACTCTGTATAAGCTACTGGAACCAGAATTTCCCTGAAGGAGTAATCCCAGGGGATAAATGAAGTTGAGTCCTCTATAAAAGCAGCACTCACCTTTAGAGGACTGATTAATGCTGGGGAATGTCACAATGCAATTTACTGGCTATTCTAACGCCATTAAATGTTTCAATCAGCTGCCAAGAATCTCAGAAGTGGATCTCTGAGCTAATTCACACCAGCCGTTATGAGGTGCATTGTTTTTTTGAAACAGCGAAGCAGCCAAGAGCTCCATGTCAGCCTAAACATTCATTAGGACAACGTTCAAGACGAGGCGACTGGATAAAGGCTGAACAGGTGTGGCTGGTTCTGAAACTAAATATATTTCTGCTATAGGGTTGCAGGCTTCAATCTGAATAAACCAGAACACCTTTAGATTAGGGGCCTTCGCATATATGTGGTTTAAATAAAGATCCTTGGCTAAAAAGCTCAGCAAATGCTGTCTGGCACGGTGGTAAATGCATGATTATTTGGGCTTGTTTGTTTTACATCTCTCTCTGTCAACCTTCTAACGCGACAAAGGCTGGTTGGTTTCCTCGCATAGATCTACAGCTGCACAGTCATTGAAATTAAACCCAGAGCGTTTTAATCTGCTTGGGTTTTCTATAGTAGCAGTAGAGAGTTCCTTAGTTGGCTTAACGAGCAGGGCTGTAATTAGAGCTAAACCTTCAATTACAGAGTGACCTCTGCTTCTAAGAACAGCTTTGTTCTTAGAGTCTGGCGGAATGGAACGTTTTGTTTTGTCTTATTGAATCCCAGTTAAAATCCTAATCATCAATCAACATTTCAACATCTGACTGATCCGATTTTTCCTGCAGCATCTGTGTTGATTTGATGAAGATGGGTTGACTGATTTGCTTAACTTCCTCTAGGGCGGAGCTAAGGATCTAATCTTTCTGTCAGGACACTATTAGTTATAATCAATCCCTATTTTTCCAAAGTTCATTACAATTCCTGTAGAGAATAATTAGACCTGGATTAGTCATGTTTTAAGAGTTGAAAAATCCTTTATGTACAATAAGAATGTTTTTTTTATATAGACAGACGGATGTGTCTTTCTTTTTTTTTTTCTTCAGCGCATTATTCTTCCACTCAACTTCCTATTAATATATTTGATGCAGCACTCTGTGAAAAATCTTTCTTCAGCCATGACCTTTTGTGTCAGACCCTTCTAGTGGGACAGTGACTGTCAAGTCAGCAGTCCTTTCCCTGGACTATGGAGCCCCATGGCAGAGTATTTCTGTATCTAAAGTCAGTTTTTGATACTTTAATAAAACAATAGATGAATGAAATCAACTATTTGAGGGATTATTTTTCATATTTCAGATGCATCCTTATGAATTAATTCACTCACTCACCTTGAGGATCTTAACCACCACCTTCTCATTGTTGGTGATGTTGATAGCCTCGAACACCTCGCTGTATTTCCCTCTGCCCAGCTTGCGGACCAGCTGGTAATCCTCCTGGTTGCTGCAGAGACAAACAGAAGAACAGCATGCATGACTGTGTGACAATAACAGAACAGGATTGTTTAGGGTTCATCTGCAGCCAAATGATAGGAGTTTCTGGCTCGGAGGAGGAGATCACAGAGATGCGGTGGGATGAGGTGTCAGACAGGCTGCAGGACCACCGTGGTGTCATCACACCCTCAAAGCTCGGTGTTTAATAATAAAACCCATCTGCTACAGTTTCCCCCATCCCTCTGCAATCTATCCTTACTTCCAGTTGGGAACGTGGGCCTCGTAGTCCCAGTACTCCCGGCTCTTTAGGGTGTTGACGTCTGCGTACACACGGGCCTTGCTCCCGGCCACCGGACCCGGCATGGTGGGAGCCGTGGCTCTGATGGTTGAACCGACTCAGATAAGGAGAGCGGAGGGCAGCTGTGTGTGGGAGGAAACAGGCCAGCTGGTTTGCAGAAGCAGAGATGTCTCCGGGGTCCGTAGAAGTTTGGATCGCTTATGTTCGGTTTGTTAAAAGCAGATATTTTTATTTTAAAAAAACTAGAGGAGGATGGATCTATATACGGGGATGGAGAGCAGGAGGCATCGGGGTGCTGAGGTAGAGAGGAGGCGGACCCTGTAAGGCAGATGAGGAGCAGGGGATTCCTGCACCGGATGATGGGAGGATGGTCTGCGGGGGGCCCCAGCTGATCAATCAACGCTCGATGTGACCGATCGGTAGAGCCGGAGAGGGGGGCGGTGGAACCAGCAGCGAAGATCGATGTCGTTAGCTCACGGTAGCGCGGAGATGTCGCACCGATGGGGAGCCCTCTGCTCCGGGTACCAGCTGGAGCACAGCCCGCGTCATGTGCAGCCCTCTGCTGCGGAGCGAGCGGGACCTTGGATCCCCGGTGCCGCTCGCAAACTTTTAGGGTTTCGGGGAGGGGGGGTTAGCTCGGCAGCCTGCGGACCTCCCCGGTGGTGGAGAGCGCAGGAAGGGAGGCGGAGCGCGTGAAGGAGGAGCGGTGGGGAGGGAGGGAGATACCCGGGATGTGAATTCGCTGGTATCCGGGGTAACATGCGCCATAGCGCCACAGCGCCCTCTGGTGGTTAGATATAAGTACTTTCATTTAAAGAAAAAACATTCAAATTAAATTACTTATTATTACCTATATCATTCGTCTAAGGACCCTGCTTTTTTGTGTCACGCTTTTCTACGGAAGAGGATTAGGGCCAAAGAAAAATTAAAAAAGATTTTTTTATTTCAGTATAATATGAGAAAAAAGTCAGAATTCTGACTTTAATCTCAGAATTCTGACTTTTTTCTCAAAATTCTGACTTTTTTTCTCAGAATTCTTACTTTTTTCTTAGAATTCTGACTCTAATCTTAGAATTTTGACTTTTTTCTTAGAATGGCCCCATGAAGAAAAATGTAATAAATATGGAAATAAGTAGAAAAGAATCTGTGATTTCATGTCACTTTTAATAAGCAAATTCCCACATTTCATTATTTAATTATATAACTTGAGAATTTGTTAGATACCTAAATAATCAAGGAATCATTATATAAAAAAGATACATATGTATTTTAAGTTTGACTCAAATTATGGCAGTATAGCATCTAACAATTATATATAATTATTTATTAATCCTTTTTTTAAATTGTGGAAGATTTTGTTAATGTCCATATAATGACTTTTTCAGTAAGTGTATCAATCAAATTAACTAAATTATAGAAATAAAACTAAAATGGTTGTAATTTAGCTGAAAGAGCATTTAGATTAAGATAAAACCTAAAGGTACTAGCATCTGAAAAAAAAAATTTAATGATTAAATCAAACTTTTCAAACTTATGTGCGAGTTCAAAACATCTGGAAATATAGATATCTTAAAAGTAACAGTACAGGTTAAAAAAAGGCACCTACAAATATCTTCTTTAGAAATCGCCATCACCCATAGTAAGATAAAAAAAAAAAAAAAAGAAACAATTTATTTGTTAGTGCTGTGTCTAAATGAATGCTACATACATACAGATTATCTCAGCTTGGATGCACATGAGCTGTACTATACCACAATGTTCTTTTCTTTTCCAAGATTTATTTTCAACATCATTGACATAAAAATCACAGAACAATGAAAAAAAAATGTCAGGAGTTGTTAAACTGGGTGAAAAAGTGCCTTGAAGAAAAGAGAAATGTGGTCAAAAAAAAACAGCAAGCATGCTAGGAGGAGGAAGAACCAGGGTCCAACATGGCAGGGGGGGTTATATTGGAAGTGAGGTGGGCGGGAAGTGAGCTTGTATGGTTCATCTCCAGTAAAACCAGTACAAATTCAGAGGAGTTAGACTCCTGCCTATAAATAAGAACTTTTGTTTCGCTATATGAAGATTTTCTATTCTATCCAAGAACAGATGAAAGATAAGAGAATTTGCAAGCATCTATAAATTATGAAAAACAAATAAATTCTTTGGCTTGACCAAACATGTCAATTATGTTTTTGGACAGAAAAATCTTTTCAAATCCTACTTTTTTTAATTCTTAACAACCCATAGGTCCTGGTATCTCACTACAAAACACACGTTTGATCAATTTAACAGGCAAATATACAAAATAAGAAAGTGCAAAACCATAAAAGAACCCAACCAAAGTCTACAGATTTTAGAGTAATAAACTGTGGAGTTTATGTAAAACGATTCATAAAAGGCCTAAACATTAACGGCTGAAATAAAAAGGACTGAAATTTTCATAAGGTCGTAGAAAATACTTCAAAACATGTTTGGAATACTGCACTGAAACCTTACAGGAGAAAAATGACGGACACACAGTCAGCACGTAAACAAAGTGGCTTCTCAAGAGCAACAGGAATCTCATGGCAATCAAAGGTGGCGATTCAGAGACAAGCTTCCCCCCCATAGACACAACGGAACAAGAAAAAACAGAATAAACTGCTAAATCTTTTAGCACAGAGGCACAGGAACATCCTGCAGGAACAGCTAAGAGCAGACGAACTTGAACAAAGGAGCAGAGGCTGTCGAATCAGTTCTCACCGCTCTGAATCTGCTTTTTTTTTTTTTTTTACATTTACACACTTAGACTCGCACTGGTGTCTCTCTCTGAGAATCCCCGCAACATACTTGCACCATAAAACTACACAGACCAGGAAAAAAAAAAAAAAAACAACCACAGCAACAACAACAAAAAAGGGGTGCATCTCCTCCAAACGTTTCAAGTAGTAAAAAAATGTAAGAAAAACCTTGAGATAAAAACAGCTTCTGACCATTTTGGCTCACACATCTGCAGTATTTACAAGCTGAGAGAGGATTCAATATCCATCATCCAAAAACACTGGCCTCTGCAGGAATATGATAAGAATAATGTATAAATGACATAATTAATCATTTCTCACATGTCTAAAGTGACAGGTTTCATATGACTGCTCCCTCAGCCATTCTAATGCGACAGTAACTTTAAAATAAGACTGCAAAGATAAATAAAGATAGATTTGAAGCTTCGGTCAATACAAAGAGAAAGTAAACCCTTTACTTTTACTGGTTCTAAAAATAATCAAAATCTTACTTCAATTGTAAAAAAAAAAACAGTAAACAAATTTAAAGATAGATAAAGTTAAAAAGCGGAAAAACTAAGTGCTGTTTCTATAGGATTTAGGGCACAAATAGCAGCAAACTGCTTCTGATGAAGACTTTAACGGATCATCATCAGTGTGAGACGCTCTATAAAGCCCTACATTTGGACAGGCAGATGTTGCGATGGTGTTAAGATGCAACGAGAAAGATTACGAACCCGTAAAAAAGCTTAAAGGCGGTAGAGGAGGTGGATATCTAAGCTGTTAACCTCAACCTCAGGTGGTGCAGAACATAAGACCCCATGAGCTTCCTCTTTACGTGTCTCATTTAGCACGTTAATCAAGTTAAAGCTCCTGATATGACAGTTTGAAAAAAAACAGAACGAGGGGAAATAGTTTAACTGGTGAAGAGCGCCTCCTATCTGCAAAAAGCAAAGTTGCATCTGATTGAACCTCCACATCTCTGCATCTTTAGTTTATTCTCTAAATTAAAGCAGAGAAGTTAGGTTATAATGATGTTATAATCAGTCTGTATATCAGTACAAAGCAGGAGAGCAGCAGAAAGCTGAACCATGGGCTGCACTTAGGCTTTTCCACTTTAATTAACTGATAACGGCAATAAATTCATTCGTGTTGCTGCCTTTAAGGACCAGTTCCTATCATTATGGAGGAGGGTGTACTTTCGTTTAACAGTGACTGCAGTTGAGAAGCAGGGGTTTGAAAACACTTAGGAAATTCTGTGAGGTGAACTCAGGTTTTGCACAAACAGGCAAAATAATGAGGGGGAAAAAAGGGCAAAGCAGATAAATTAAAATCAAAATAAAAGGATCAATCTTTAATATAACATGAATGATTTGGTACCAAATAGTAACAAGAGTGAACGAATGTCGCAGTGATAACTTTTCATCGTAAAGGTTCACAAGGTTTACAAATGCAGACCAGAAAAAGAAACGGTTTACAATCTAATGACCTTTCTGCTTCTATGGGTTAATGTGTAAAATTGAATGTTTTAGAGTAGGCGTGACTCAGAAAAGCCCTGCAGTTGAATAAATCTGTTTTAGCCTCCATAAAGCTGTTACTGAGCCTGGGATGGACGAATAAAACATTGAGGTTTAAGAAAAGAAAAATGGGCCATCTGAACACTTTTCAAATGGACCATTTTATTTACTTGAGAAGGTTCGTGACAGTAAATTTAACAGCAGGGTCCAATTTTCCTGGCAAAAAAAATTGATATTTCTCTGCAATATATGTAAACATAGGAAAACTGATTTAAGCAGCCAATTTATTATATGTTGGTATAAAAAGCCTTTAAATTTGTTTGAATTACCCATACGTCATAAAGTTTCCGCAATTCAACGATATGAAGATGTTAAAAAGGCACTGATCTGGTTTTTCTGGCCTGATGCCGATATCTCATCTTCCTTGAGCTGGAATGTTTGATTCCAACTTAAACTGACTGTATTTCCTCTGTAAGCACTCTCACAACATGAAAAAAAACCCTGAAACATTTTAAAACGAGTTTTGGTAGTGGAGGTAGCTTTGAAACACACAGGAATTTAGAAAAGTAGTTTTTTTATGACTGGAATCTATATTGAGGCAGAAAAAGTCTGTGGACTGGTCAAATATATCACTACTATGCAGTGTTCATGCATCTCTATTGCAGTTTAATAATCACCCAAATATTGCATGCAAAAAAATCCATAGCGACCCAGTTGTTATTGTGACGATGATCTGGATTTTGCATGTTGCAGTGCTCTGGTTTAGTTCCACTGAAATGGCGTGGGGGTCAGGGATTTTACAATTTGCACCAATCAGAACTCTTATCTCCATCTGATCTATGGGTACTAGTAATAAATGCATTTTTTTATTGTTCTCTAAAACATCCACTTTTACCTTTGCTACAAAACTTAATAAACTTGAATAGATTTTTTAAAAAGTTGGTGAAAAAGCTATAAATGATGAGTAGAAATGTTTTCTTTGACACTTCAAGCAGACCTTCAATTTCCGTTAATTGCGACAAACTGTGACTTCACGAAACCAGATGCGGGCCACAACTATTCTGAATGCGAGTGATGCTGAGGTTCGTAAAAACGGCCTCTGGAAGGAGGACGGAGAATAAGAGTCACGATTCACATGCACTGCGGCACATTGTATCCGCCGCTGTCGGAAGTGTGCTGCACGGTGTGATCCTGCAAAGAGCCCAAGTCACTGAATCGCTCTCCACACCAGACGCACTTGAACTGGCCCTCCCTGGAGTGCGTGCTCTGGTGTTTGGTCAAGTGCTCGCGCTGTTTGAAACCCTTGCTGCAGTGCTCGCATTTGAAGGGCTTCTCGCCCGTGTGCACGCGCCTGTGGCGGTTCAGGTCCGACGAGTACTTGAAGCGCTTCTCGCAGTCGGAGCACTTTAAGGGCTTCTCCCTGGATGGGTCGCAGCGATGCTGGACGAACTCTGAAGAGGACAGGAAGCGCCGGTCGCAGAGCGAGCATTTTAAGGGCTTCTCCTGACAATGGGAGTTCTGGTGGCGCTGCAAGGTGGAGCTCTTTTTGTATCCCTTCCCACAGACGTCACATTTGTACGGCTTGTCAGGCGAGGAGTTGGATGCCTCCCCACACTTGTGTCTGAGCAGCTCCCCTGACTGGCTGAACTCTTTCTGGCAGGAGGCGCACTTGAAGAGGTTGTCCATGCCGTGGACGTGCTGGTGGTAAAGCAGGTGGGAGGGCTGCATGAAGCCTTTGTCGCACAAACTGCATTTAAACGGCCGGTCAGAAGGGTCTTTGTGCGTCCGTCTGTGGCGCACGAGTGCGTACTGCTGCCTGAAGCTCATCTGACACTCGTCGCAGTGGAAGGGGCGCTCCTCGGAGTGCGTCCGCTCGTGCTGGCGCAGGTCTGACGGCCGCTTGAAGCCCTTACCGCAGGTGGCGCAGCGAAACGGCCGGGAGCCCTGCGGGTGGCAGGGGTGATGAAGCAGTTCCGAGGACTCTTTGAAGTGTAGCTCGCACAAGTTGCACTTGAACAGGTGTTCGCCGGAGTGCACGTACATGTGGCGGACGAGGTGGGAGCGATGTTTGAAGCTCTTCTCGCACACGGCACACTTAAACGGCCTTTCATTGCTGTGCGTCCGCTGATGGTGCTGCAGATGCGACGACTGGCTGAAAGCCTTGTCGCACGTGTCGCATTTGAAGGGTTTCTCCCCCGTGTGCACTCTCTCGTGCCGTGTGAGTTCTGAGAGGTGCTTGAAGCCCTTCTGGCAGACGGAGCACTTGTATGGCCGGTCTCGAGCCGAGGGGAAAGGCAGGATGGAGGAGCTGCTGCTTGCCGACGCCCCGTCGCTGCTGGACGGCTGGGAGCTGCTTGAAGAAGTGGGTGTGGTGTTCCCCGAGGAGCCCGGTCGATACGTCTTCTCGCATATGGAGCACTTCATGGGGTTGCTGCTGTTGTGCGACGTGTGGTGCTGCGCCAAAGAGGTAAGGAGGGAGAAACCCATCTTACACACCCCACACACAAACGGCTTCTGCTCCACCTGAACGCACTGGTGCTCCAGCAAATCTGTAGCTTGATGGAAGATCTTCAGACACTGGGTGCACTGAAAGGACCTGTCCTGGCTCACCATGCACTGGTGTTCAAGCGGGTTAGCCAGGTGGGAGATGTCGTGTCCACATGTTCCACATTTGTGTCCCGATTCCGTTCCCACCTGCAAGGAGCTTTGCTGTGCTTGAGGAGGATGCTGCTGCTGCTGCTGCTGCTGTCCGCCGGCGTGCTGCTGTCCACCTCCATGCTGCTGCTGCTGCTGCAGCGATGATGCGTCCGACTGCAGCACAATCCCATACACCGCACAGCTCAGGGCGTTCTCAGCTCCAGCTGGGATCGTGTGAACAACCGGAGGCGGAGCGACGGTTTGCTGTTGCCAGGCTTCAGTCATGCGGGCTCGAGAGTATGGGTTCAGTTTGGCAGCTGGAGCAGCCCAGCTAAAAGAAGAGAGAGACATTTTGAGCTATGGGACGACGGTCCCTGAATACATGAAGACAAGAAAAACTCACTCCATCTCTTAGCTTGGCGAAGAGGCAGCGAACAACACTGGAATGCACTGAAGCAAAACAGATGTTGGGAAAGACTGGAGAGAAATCTAAAGCTTTTGCTTTATTCTTGAGTTACATCTGCAAGAAAAAAACAAACCATCAGAAGAAACACAGATACAGTATCAGAAAACTACAGTCTGGCTAACTGCTTACAAAACTACACGTTTGTCATTGACATCAGGAACCGTGCTACTTCAGTTTCAGAAAAAAGTCTTTCAAATATACTTAACATTTACAATTTTACTATATTTTAGATTATCATCTCTCTGAAAAACCCAATGATGACCCATCCTGATCTTCTAAGAGAGGCAGATCATAAACGCAAACTTCTGGTGAAACACCAACCAAACAATCTCTCTCAATTTCTCTCTAGTTGTAATAAATACTTAGACTTAGACTCAGTGCAGGCGAAGGAGTGGAATTTTAGGGTAGCTTAAAAGCTATTATACTGTATAACTATAATGATTTAATGAGTTTTATTTTACATTGACAATGCAGATTTTTTTTTGGTTGCTTTTTTAAAAACTATCATTACACTGTCACAAGTACAGAACAAGTAAAGAGCAATGAAATGAACTCTCTGCTTTTAACCCATCCCCCTGGCGGAGCAGTATGCTGCCATTGTGTGGCATCCGGGGAGCAGTGTGGGCGTTAAGGCTTAGGGACCTGTGGGAGTGGTAGTGCTGGGCGATATGGAAAAAATCATATATCATGATATGGACTATTTTATATCACGATAATAATATATATCGCAATATGCTCCAATTGAGTACATTTTCAGCAAATCTCTGAAAAATATGACAAAATAATATAATTGCTTACTTTTTCCAACTTTATTTTGAAGTGACATTTATAGAACTGTCACAAATTAGAAAAATAAATTGTAGTGCAACAACATATATGCATAAGACGAGGTGGAAGTATGGCTACAGTATCCTTCACATTTTTTCAAATCCTACGGGTATTTAAATTAAATTCCTGTGGTTCTTCTTTAGGTATTAGAAGAGGTTTGTCGTGTTGCCACCGGGTAAGGGAACAGTCTTGTAGCATAGTTTGCAAATGTTGTCTGCTCCTTGTTGGACTTGTTAAATCCAAAATGTAACCAAATCACAGATGTGCCCCCTCTTTTTGGTAAAGTGTCTTTATCTTGGGTTGCCTGCGAAGCTGTCTCTGTTTGTTGCGACCACAGGTTTAATACTTCAGCCTCCTGCGTCTCCAACTCTCATGAGTTAAGTAACGTAAAGCATGTCGCAAACCCGCGTGTGAGTCAAAAACCCGTAAAGAAGCGTCATGTTGCAAAAACCACAGGACGCCGCTTCTTTGTGGATAAAAAAAAAAAAATCTTGTTTATCACTTATAAGCTGTGTGTAGGCTACGTGGCTACACTAATACGATTGTCGTAGTCTACCATGGGAAATATTTGCATGAATACGAGATACAATTGTGTTAGAAACGATAGAAACGATAGAATAGAATTAGCACGATAGACACTTTTCTATCGTCCGTACGATATGTATCGTCTTATCGCCCAGCCCTAGGGAGTGGGGCTTAAACTCAGAACCTCTGGATTTCAAGCGCAATGCCCTAACCACTAGGCTGCCACATCTCTATTCTGACACCACAAAAGTGATGGCAGCAACTAAATACAAAAAAAAAATCACTGCGACATTAAAACGCTATTATTGGACTGCAGATAATTCAGTTTGTCCTGTGTAGAAAAGACTTTGAAATAAACTGAGCTTTTATTTCAGATATCTGCTGTGTCCCAATTCAGCGGCTACATCCTCGGAAGGCCAGGTTCAGCGTCAACATAGGTCATAGCACAGCCCCTCATTTGTGCGTTCCCGTGGAGGGTCTGTCACATTAAGGGCCGTCCCAAACCACGTAATGGATAGGGTGAGTGGAACGTTCAGCCCTTAAACGGTGAGTCTGCATCAGTGCAGACTTGCAGGAATCTGCCAGGAGGTGTAATGGTGAACTAGTAGAGGAGGAATCGCTGGGATTCTATTGTAAGTTCTGCTGGTTTGCTGCATCTTTGTCACACCGACAGAAAATCACAAGTTAGGAAAAAGAAAAAAATGTCATCGATCCGAAAAGGGAAGGTCCTATTTGAAATGGTGTTATTTAACCGTATAATTTTTTTTTAAGAAAGGGGCAAATGTGGGATAGTGTGACTTCTTGGGAATGACACTTGATAGTTACGGGTTGGTGCTTAGGAGGTGGCAAGGGATTCAGGGATGTTCATATGAGGCTGACAAGTGCAGCCTTCTTTTTGCCCAGTTGGAATGACAGCTCCGGTGTATCCTCCGTAGCCTTGGGTATCCCATGATTCATTGCGATTCCGAGCAAGCTGACTGCTCCGTGCTCAGAGGAAAAAGGGAAATGGTGGCAAACAGTTGTGAATATTATAAGCAGTTTATCATAATACAAGCATGCAAATAATTTTGTCTTAAAGGAATGAAAATAGTTTATTGAAATTGTTAATGAGTCAGATATGCGACAGGTAATGTTTGGTTTATTTAAATATTCTATCTGTATCTCCTCTGTAGTTGTTGCTTTCCACCATATCCCCATGCATGTTCTCACCTGGCCTAGATCTGACTGTTTGTAAATTATTTGTCTTTTGTAACTGGAATCATCTTTCTTGTCCCTAAAATAAACTGATTTATTCAGCAGTAAATTACCATGATAAGACCACAGTTGTAGTTTGGTGCTATATAAACAAAGATAATTACATGGTAATTAACTACTACTACTACAATGTCTGTCTGTCCAGTAACTTCCTACAAATTAATGTAAATGTACCATAATAATGTACCATAATAAACATTCTCTGAAATGTGTGTTCAGTTAAATTTAATAACATCTGAAATCAAGCAGCAACAGCAGGCTGAATGTTTTGTTTACAGCTCAGCATGTCAGCAGCACTTTCCAAACAAATCCAAACGATTTGCGGTAAATAATGGTGAAGGGAGTCTGCGCGCTCTAACGTTCTTTATTTTTTCCGTTTCCAGGCAAAGATGAGGGTAACCAGGGAGAGTTAGCCTGTTAGCCTAGCCACCTGCTAGCAGAGCCCCAACAGGAAACATTAGCTAGGTGTTGAGCTTAAAAAGGCACCCCGGCTATAAACAGCAGCCTCACTGTTTAAAGAGTATAATATTAAAAAATAGCGACGCTTCTAACTGTTTGCTCAGCGCTGCATCAAGTTCAAAGGTTCTGAATTATTATTTAAACCAACATTTTAACTTATGTGTGCTTTCTGGTACGTATGTGCTCTTTTCGCATGGCTGTTGTTTTTGGGCACAACACCGGGTTAGCCCCGGGAAACAGCGACCACTATAAGCGACGGTGACACTTTCTTAACGGCAGGCAAAAAAACAGATTTACGAACCTGAACCTGGAGCTTTCTGTTAAGCCTAAAGGAAAATCCCGGCTCAATATGACGAAGGTTAGCTGCTCCTCCTAAATAAATGAACCGGAGGCTCCCTTCTTTCCATCCGCAGACGGAGGTCTGCTTCTCGGTGTGCTGAGGTTCCAGGAGCCGGGGGGCCGAAAATGTGGGCTCATTAAACCGTCGCGAATCAACCCTTAGCGGCTCCGGATCCCGTCATTTATCGGGCTCATGGTGCATCCTTTCGTCCGACGAGAGGATGATGATTTGGTTATTAATTAGAGGCTAGCTGAGGGCTAGCTGCGGAGCCCCTGGCCGCGCACGGGAACATGAACACACAAGAGTTAATTGGCATCAACACACACACACACACACACACACACACACGGCTTCCAATTCAGCTCAGTTCACGTTTATTGTCATCTGTACACAATGTCACCATGGTATGGTAGCACTGTGCATCATCATGTAAATAGATAATTAAAACGATTCAAAATAAAAAAAATATTCAAAACAATTTGATAACATTAGGCACAATCAGCAATAACAATCAAAAATCTTATTGTGTTGCTGTTGTGTTATGTAACAGCAGCATATAAATGGCATAAAAATATTATATTACACTGAGATTTGTGTATTTATAAAATAAACAAAAAGCTGGTTTTCTATACACAATGGTTTCATTAGTATGTATTATGAGTTTGGAAAAAATAATAAAAGTATATTTTTATTTATGGAATGAAGATACACCCACTGGGCATGGAACTCAGATCTTCTATGAAGGTGGTATTCTTCAACATAAACTGAGGTCACCACATTGCATCTCAATTCAGTGTTTTCTAACAACTCCCTGTTATATTTTAGCCATTAAGACAAAGGGGATGTAAGTTCAGTTTATACTGTGATGTATGGTATTTATAAATTCTGATCTCTTATGGGGAAACTGATAGACCTACTTGAATGGTACTTATAATGCCATCAAAATTATCTTTTAGAGAATCTTGTCTAACCCAGAATCCAATAAATAGTAACTGAGGGGTCTGCTCAAATGTATAATTGTAGTGACTGTTGTATACGGCAAAACTGTGAAGATTCTCAGTCATCCAGGCTACCCCTTGGTTGAGAGCTGAGTCTTCTAGAAGACTTTACATCCATTTTTTTTTTTTACAGCAAATGTAATGTTTTCTGTATTATTATAATGCTATTTAAAAAAAGAGTTGTAGTTTCTTTATTACATTGCAATTTAAAAATGTGTACTACCAGGGCTGCTGATTGGAAATTATTTATATATATATATATATATATATATATATATATATATATATATATATATATATATATATATATATATATATATATATATATATATATATATATATATATATATATATATATATATATATATATATATATATATTGAGAGAGAGAGAGAGAGAGAGAGAGAGAGAGAGAGAGAGAGAGAGAGAGAGAGAGAGAGAGATTAGACATAAATAGGCGGAACGTTTGGCGTCAGACGGTTTGTTTCCCCCGGATTTCAATTATGTTTGGAAGCGGTTGTTTACATCGGATGTAGGGCAGGCCATAGATATGGGCAGGCTTTTAGGAAACTCGTCTTCTGTTTTTGATTTTTGTGACACCGGGGCTGTATCAATTCATTATTAAGTTCTCTGTAAAATGCCTTGACGGTTCGGGATGTTAGTTAGTTACAGCAGCAGCTCGGAGGAAGACAGCGAACCCGGAAGTGAAGCACCAATTCGGACCAGCCGACCGTTGGATGACGAAGATGAGGATAACCGAGAACTTCCAACCAAAAAGAGAGCCAGAACTGAGGAAGTGGATCATAAAAAGAGGTGAGAAAAGTCCTAGAGTGAGAAAGATGGAAAATGAAAATGACCAATAAGTTAGAGGTCTGAACCTGTAATAATTGAATGAAAAAATTGTTTTAAAGGTGTTGATAAATTTGAAACTACAAAGAAAAATCATAATTGCATAAATATTTGTCGCATAACTCTATCTATCTATCTATCTATCTATCTATCTATCTATCTATCTATCTATCTATCTATCTATCTATCTATCTATCTATCTATCTATCTTCTAATCACCTTTTCTTCTTGTTACTTCTTTATTGTGATTAAAGTAAAATTATATTAAACCTGAAAGACTTGATCTTAAAGATAAACAGCAAAATGCACGTTATAAATAATATAGTTTATTAAGAATAAATGCTTGCTATAAAGTTCAGCTGAAAAGTAAATATGTGTCTGTGCTGCAGACTACCTCTCCCTGGTTGCCTCCTGACAATGTTTCCTGATGATGATGATGATGATGCACCCACTGAAGACAGCTCCCTTCATGGTGGGCGGATCCGCTCCTTCAAGCACGAGAGAGGAAACTGGGCCACCTACGTTTATCTGCCATGTAAGCAGAAACAACCAAAACAATTTGAAATCCTTCTGTATTCTGATTCCTGAAGAATTGAAATATTCTTGTGTCAGATCCTCCTGATGAGGAGTTTGAGGAGGTTTTGGAGGAGTTGCTGTCAGCCTTGAGGGCTCAGGGTCTGACTTTGACCCGGCAGGAGGAGTTCCACCTCAGTGTGTCTCAGACAGTGGTGCTCAGACACCACTGGATCCAGCCTTTTACACAAAGCCTCCAGGCAGGCCTTTCACACTGCAGAAGGTTAGTTTATTGCTACTTGATCCCATGAAAAACTTTATTTGTTTCATTTCTAGATTTTCAGATGAAAGTTGAAGTTGTTTCCAAATGCAACCTGTTTTCGATTTTAAATGATCAAATTAGCAAAAAAGTGTGACTCATGTTAAAGATGTGCATTTCTGTATGGAATTATTTTTATTTTATTCCACCTGCGCTTAAAAATAAAAAAAAAACTTCAGATCCAGATTGTTCCTAATCTTAGCTTTTAGATAAATCTACTTTCTTACCATTCCTCAATTTTTTTAAGGATTGTTTAAAAAAACAAAACAAAAATCACAGATGATGATTGAACAGCATCCTGTAGCTAAATCCTTATATGACAGATAAAAGTGAGTTCACATTATGATGTTCTCAGTAAAGCTTCTTCCTGTTGGCAGGTTTGTGTGTTCAGGGGGGACACTGAAGGTCTACTGTAATGCTGAGAGAACAAGGTAACATATTTTAGCTATTTAACCAGCAGATTTATTTGCTTAATCAGAATCGGACAGTTTATTGGTTACTCTGCCAATAACATTCATTTAATTCTACTCAGATTATGAGTTATATGCTGATGAGTTATAGATCTTTCTTTTCTGAATGTAAGGATAGATTTAATCGAAGTTGAAGTAATTAAAAAGTCTCATATTTGTAATTCAGAACAATTTTATTTGACCTAAATCCACCTTAAACCTGTTTTTTCCCTTTCTGTGTGCTTTTTAATCCCTTATAGGACCTTTTTGGGGATGGAAGCGACCGTCGGGCATGCTCAGTTGTTGGATCTGGTCCGGGTTGTTGACAAAACGATGGCGGAGTTTCGACTAGACACGTTCTATACGGTCAGTTAAAAAATCCTAAAAAAAAAAAAACATTAAAATCTGCAGCCAAAACAAACAGTTTAATAAAATATTAATCCCTTTAAACTTTAGGGTTCCTGACTGTAGGTCACTCAAAATTGCGTTTTTTTTACTTGTTCGACTTTATCTAAAGTAATAATCTGCTTTACTTGATTTAAATAGTTTTCGCTTTAGGCTGATTATTTATCTTTCAATACAAACACTAATGTTTTCTCTGTTCTGTGATCTAGGATCCTTCTTTCCATGTAAGTCTGGCCTGGTGTGTGGGAGACCTAACAGAGAAGATGAAGGAGATCTTACATGACCTGCAGGTGCATGTTTTTTTTTATTGTTTTTTGTTTTTTTATGGTCATGGGGTCTATCTCAGATCTTTATGCCTTGTTCTTGGTCTCCTTTAATGTGTTTTTGACAGATTTTATCAAGCTCACTTTTTCAGCTTAAACATAAAGCCTTTTTGAGTTTTCTTTTTTTCTTTCGTGTCAACCTTGTGGAATATAGTATGTAATCTAAAGAAGGAAATAACTAAAATGCAGAAAAACATGGTTCAATCATATTTTTCCGGACTACTCTGAGCATGTCCGATGATGACGTTAGACAAGCAGTTTAATGGAGAAAATGTAAAATGCATCAAAATAGTCATAAAACAGTTTTTAAAGATGTGTATTAGCATTCTTTAGTAAATTAAGGATAGAAATAAGCTATTTTACCATGATAATTACATTATTTATGGAATCCGGGATGGATCGGGTAGTGACAACATCTATGGTCAGAACACCGCTGGATACAATGTTGTTTTTGTTGCTAATGGTTACTGTAAAATCTCACTGTGAGAACATTAGTTGTTCTGTAATGATTCCACCTTTTTATTTATTGATTTTAAAAAAGCGATCATCACACTGCAGTCTTGCTTTCAGTGACAAAAAACATGATTTCTCACCAAATGACATGTCTTTTGTTTAGGGTTTGAAGAAAAGGAAAAGGAAAAACACTGGATAACATGTAAAATCTGTCTTAATCCTGACCTCCGGGATTAAGCAGGACAACCTCTAGTTTTAATAAACATTTACAATGGACACGCAAGGAAAGTAAATGCCTAATTTACTTCAACCTTCAGGCAACATACTGTTGACTAATGAGTGTTCAAATATTTATTTGACCTGCTAGGAGGGATTCAGCACATTCACCAACACAGCACCCAATTTCAGCACTTAGCAGGATAATAGAAGCTTCCTTAGCATTGAACTAAAAAAAATAAACAGATGCAGTATGTATCAATTTGGAACATGCTGTCATATTTTTGGGACATTTTTTTTTTACCATGATTTCTCATTTTATTACATTATAATAATTGTACACTGATAAATCCAACCTTTAATTATGTTTATTTGTTTGAAAAAACCTTAAACAATAATCTTTTACAAGATAATGCTAAAATAAATGCTATCAAAATTATGGCATCCTCTAATAACTCAGATAGGTAAAAGTTTCTGAATATCTTTTAGTCATTATATTACCTAAGTTGATCTAGTTGTCCAGAAATCTCTAAATGATAATCCCTGCATTTTTAGATTCGCCTTTACTATGTATATGACATGAACTTTTTTCTTAGCAACTCAAAGTGAAAAAGACGAGAACACGTTTTTAAATCGTTCATAATGCTAGAAAATGGGACAAACGGAGGTCTGTGAGATTTCAGAAACTTTTTTATTTTTTTTTTAGTTTTAACACTGACTGATCTGCTGCGATGCCTTTTTCTTCATGATAAATAAACTTTTAAAGCCTCCATATGACCTATGGATTTAAAGTACATACATGTTGATTGGAACTGGATTTTATTTACGGGTATTCAATCAAAGGGGAGCTGAATGCCAAAGTAATTGTAATCCAGGTACTTTATGTGCTATTTTATGTCTATCCATCCTTTTATCTGATAATTTTTTTTCATTTCCTTCTCTGTAGGGTTTGGTCGATAACCGCGATGAAGGACCATTTCTGTTTATGCTGGCCTGTACAGAAGTTCGCTGTAGGACAGGAAATAAGACTTTTCGCTTCCCGCTGAAACCGTGAAAACCTCGGTGAAGAGTCTGGGTCGGCTGGCTTTGACTCTGCGAGTCGCTGCTGCAGAGCCACAAGAAACTGAGCTGATGTTACAGATGGCTGCTACTGCTCTCAGTTTATAACCTGATCTGGGAACCAGTGAAGACGATCAAGAAACACAGATCTTTTTTTCTATCATAGATGAACTATTTGATTAAAGTTGCTGCTTGTTTTGTAGATCTTTTGGTCCTTTGAAAACATTTTTTTTATTGTGTGGCCTAGAAGCTGTGTTAATGTAGGGAAAAAAAGGTTCTCTGAATGGAGGCTATGCTTTTATTGTGCAAGGAATCCTCAGTGAGTTACACGGCCATATTTATGAGAAAAATGTTGGAGGTGCTTTAATTTAAGAACAACAATGTTCAAACATTTTTACCCTAAATCTCAGAGATCTTTAACAAAACAATCCAAAAAACAGATGTAAGCAAAAATCAATGAACTGAGGATTATTTGGGAGAGGAAAACACAAGCGCACACATCCGGAAATTACAAACAACAAAAATGATCTGAAAACATATAAAACCTGTAACCTGTGCTTTAAATTAGTTTTAAAGTTTATTTTTCATAATTACAACATTACAGAACAATATAGCAATTACCAAACTATGATAATTATGATAAATTTCATTACTGGGTCAAATCCTGCGCTGTTTTAACTATCAGGTAAGTGGTAACCCTAAGACCTAATTATGAGCTTTCTCCAAAATCATTTGGAGAAAGCCACACCATTAAAATGACACCATGACCTATTTTTAGGAAATAAGTTATGAAGTTACAAATATAAAGTAAAGTAAATATGAGCTGAGTAATAATATTTTATAAAAGTGTATAGTTATAGCTAATAGCAATGTATGGATTATTTGACAGTATTTTATAATCTCCTAAAAATGAGAAGGTTATTTATTAATTGTATTTAAGGCCTATATCTCATATAATTAAGTTTATATTTTTATGGCTCCATTACACAAGGTTTTATTTGCTATTGGGGCTCTCAATGTTCCCAAATGTCCAATAAGAAACGAGTATAAAATCAGCAACATGGGTAGCAAAAAAAATAAGAAAATGTGATACTACCCCCAGTATACACAAAACCAGCAAATTATAAGAATGTTACAATTTCAGGTTTATACTTATTTATTTATAACAATAATCTTAACTGGGCCCCCTTTAAAATAAATTCACTGTTAAGTGAACTTTATTTTTTTTTTAGATTTGAAAAATTGTCATGCTATTCTCTAAATTATATTCTCTAAATTATGTATATAATATTTATGATGGTCTCATAAATATCAGACAGCTAAATGATTTTTAAACAGTATATCATAATTTTGAGATAAATCATGGTTATGTCATAATTCCAAACTGCGATCACATAATTATTATCACTTATCCATAGATCAGTCATAATTGACTGGTAAATATAATTGATGTAATTCAGTTAATTTTCATAAGAGTGTCTGGTTGCCTTTTATAGAAAGCAAGTTACATGGATATTAAGCCAATTACAGACCTTCCAAATTGACTCTAGTTTTCAACTATGCTATCAAAGAATTATTACAATAACTAATGGTTGAAACATACTGAAACACAATCTCAATATGAGATGCTTGATATGAGGGATGTTCAATAGGTAATGCCATGCACCCACTTCCAGTTGTTTGATCTGTCCGAAATTCTATGTGCACAATTATTTACATCTCTGTAAAGTGACAAAAGTACAGCTCTGAACTAATTGTGGCTTCTGATTTACAGGTGTTTGAACTGAGTCAAGACTGAAATGGAGCCTATTGAGTGTCGAGCAGTGATCCGGTTTTGAATGGCCTCATATAGCCTATGATGGGGCATCATTACCATAAGCCAGTGTTTTTCAACCCTGTTCCTCAAGGCACACTGCTCTGCATGTTTTGAATGTTTCTGAGGTTCAGCACACCTGATTCAGATGATTGCAGTTCAGCAAAGCCTGATAATCTGCTATTAATTGATAACAGGTGTGTGGAAGCTGGGAAACATCTTAAACATGCAGGGCAGGGTGCCTTGAGGACCAGGATTGAAAAACACTGCCATAAGCTACTTTCATTTCATCAAAAGTCTCCAGTGGCATGCGTGCGTCCTTTAGAATACAAAACCCGGATCACTGCTCGACGCTCAACAGACACCATTTCAGACTTGACCCAGTTTAAACACCTGTAAATCAGAAAACCCAAGTTCAGAGCTGTAATTTGCCACCTAATGTATAGAGATATAAATAATTGCACATACAAAATCTTTTAGATCAAACAACTTGAAGTGGGTCAGGGGTGTTTCTTATTGAACAGCCCTCATACTACTGGCTGCTTAGATTTCTATGAGGTAGTATCACATTTAAACATGCATATATATATATATATATACACACACAAATATATATGTTTACACACACAGAGGGGCAGAGTGTGAATAATAAGTCTGAGTCATGTGTGTTTTACTTGAAGTCTTTTACTGGGCAGAAGGCAGCTTGTTTATGATGCACATTTATAACTCAAAGCAGAAGTGAAAACTTCATAGCATATCGTTTTGGTCTGTGAGGGCATCATGGCACAGTACAATCACTAAGGTCTACAGGTTCTCTCCACATCAGCACAGCAGCAGTTGGGGTTTAAAAAGTCTGAGTATTTAACAAATAAGAGAAAAAAGTATAAAACATCCAGAAAAAAGATCAGGTTCATGTCACAGATTCAGGAACAGACTTGTCCTTACAAGTTTCCTCTAATTAAAGCCCCTTAAGGCACACAATTCAACCCAAATCCCAACAAAAACATGCAAACAGGAAAAGGAACCTCTTCCTTGCATAACAGCCTCTTATCTTTTACCCTCTAAAATTGGGATCATAAAACCTGTTTCTATTTGACTATAAGCATAAACCTTGATGTGGTTGTGGTCTATAACTCTTGTAACATTAACCACATTCATAAACCAACAACAGCTTGGCTGTGTGCAAAAGATAACAAAACCAACACATGAGTTAAATGAAAATGAGACACAGATCTGGAAAATCATTTATAACAATAACAGACATTGTGATTAAATGCGTTTTAAAATTTCTGTTACAGTGGAAGGAAGTCAGAAGACTCACACAGCATTAATAAACCATTTCTGTTTCTTTTTTGACACAAATTCTATTAAAAGTTGGAGAATGAAATCTAGGCTCCATCAAAATTTGAGACCAATAGAAAAGCATTGAGTCTTTAACAACATAAATATGAGAGTTACAAGTATTGGTTCATACAAAAAACAAGATTCAGGGTCAAGTAAAATCTGAACACTTTGAGATGGGACACTTTGTTGGCATGAATATCAAGCGTTTGGCAGCTTTAAGGGGAGAACAGCACAGTCTTGATGTACTCCACGGTGGTGATGTTTGTCAGCATGTTGACGTGTTCGTTCCCCGGCAGCTCTTTGAGGGCCACAGGCTGCTTCTGCTGCCCTGCCCAGCGTTTGCACTGCACGGCGCTCCGTAGGTTCACCGTCCCGTCCCCGTCGCCGTAAACCACGTCGGGCTCCACGTCTGGGAACTTGTCCGAGTACTGGAAGGCCTCGGGCGTGGGGATCCCGTTGCCGTACAGGCAGTGGACGGCTACGCCGGGGGCGGTCAGGTCCGCCACCAGAGGCTCGGTGTCCTTTCGCATCAGCCAGCCTTCTCTGAACCCGATGTCCGAGTAGAATTTCTCATAGTCCGCCACAGTGTAGTTGGTGGTGGGCGTTTGGATAAAAACCTGGAGATGGAAAGAACAAAAAAATTTTTTTTTACATTTCTGATTCTTTTATGTTCCTGTTATTTTCCAAATATCTTCGAAGTAGGTTAAATGTCACTAAATAATCTAAATTCAGAGCATAATATTCACTATAATGATCTGCAGGATGTAAACAAAGGAGAAGAAACTAAAAGCTGGGAACTTAAACGATACAGTCAGATTTTAATAACAATAAATCATTGATAACAGACCTGATCTTTGGGCCAAGAGTGGGCATAGGGGAGGAGCCAGTTGGTTGTGACGGCAGTCCGTTGCTGTGAGCGGATCTTAAGCGGGCTGATGACCGGGATGCGGTTATTGTCACCTGAATTTAGAGAACAACGAAAACAAAGTAAAGAGAATTGAAAGTTAGGAGTTTCACCATCATGCTTCCAGAGAAATTTCATTTCGGTTTTATTTTGCAGTTATATACATGCAACCTCTGATGTAGAAAAAACTTCAGATATTATATTGTGAACATTTATTTAAAAAATATTATGTGGAATTAAGAAGAAGCTTTGCTCTGCCGATTTACCAATGCTCAGTGTATTTATAGAAAATTTTTCATCAGGGTGAAAAGACATTAGTATAACCTTAATAAGGCAATTTTTGCCCCCCATACTGCTAGAATTCTACTACTGTGACCACTGGATATTAAGAGGAAAAAAACCTAAACAGAACGTTTTGTTTTTTAGTTTGCAAAGGTGGAAAGAATTAGGTTTGCAAAGTTGCAGAAATAACCTGAAATGTCCTTGTTTACAAATAACTTAAGCAGATAAACCCCTCAGACCGGCTGTGCAGCACAGCGGTTGAAGGCTAATGATTACAGCTCGTATTTACAGCAAACAGGTCCAGAAAAAAAAACGTCGATACAAACAGGATGTGATGCAACTGGCTTATGAAATATATGACGAACCAGGAGGGAGACAAGAAATGCCTGTGAAATAAAATACTCAGCTTGTCTGTATTCTTGTCTTAATTAGAGCAAAGGGTTATGTTGCAGAAACAAAAAGTATTTAATAAAGCGATCAACTCAAAAAAAATTTCTTTAAGCGCTTCAGTTCTGACTTGTGAAACTGGTCTTCACACTCCTCTCACACAAGCCTTCATGTTCAGATCTGCATTTAATCCTCTCACACACCGACTAAATGTGCTCCTGCTTCTTACTAACCGGATGTAACCACACGCAGGGTTTTGGCCACGCCAGCCCACGGCGGTCCGAGGCATACAAAAGCCTTTATGTATTTGTCCTTCCAGGCCTGCGGCTGCTGGTTGAGGAAGTAAAGTGTGTACATGTTCCCCATGCTGTGAGCGATGAGCACCACGGGTCCTCCAGCCTTCTCTGCCATCTCCTCAATCATCAGCTGCAGAGCCTTGAAATACTCTTTGTTCTCATCTAAAAGAAGAAGAACATTAACTGAAGCTCAGCTCAGAGGTTTAGTTGTTCAATTCTTTTTCCGTATCTTACTCGGAGCTTTCCTCCAGTCATACGGAGCCCCTCTGACATCGTCGTCTCTGGTGTAGCCCCACTCCACCATCGCCTGCACAATACTGAAGAAATACATGCCTGGAAGATGCAAACAAGATATATTAGAGAGAGACTGAGTTATTTAAAGAAGTGGTGAAAGATTTAGGCCTGTACTTGGACTAGGCCATTCTAACATAAATATGGATCAAGCAGTATTAAAATCAGTCCATTTTCTCGCTAATTTCTCCATCCCTAACTGCAGAAACACATCCCACAGCATAACAACTTGACCCCAACCGTCCACTGTTGTGGTGTTAATCAGGCTACAGTAAAGAGGTTTGGATTAAAGGCCAAAATCTTTCATATAATCATCATCATCATTCTAGCTGTGTCCATTTTATTTTTATTTTTTTTTGGGGGGGGGGGCTGCCACTGTGCGGTGCCCGGGTAGCAGTCTGGGGTTAAGGGTCTTGCTCAAAGAGCCTGAGTGGCAGTCTGTAGGAGACGAACCCAGAACTCCAGGACTCCAACCGCAATGTTCTAACCAATAGGTTACCACCTCCCCAAGTCCCTTTTTTCTTCAAATGGGCTCATCATGAGCCTCGTTCTGATAGGGGTTCATTCCCCCACCAATGGTTGATCAGGGTGAGAAATTGCATAAAAAAAACAAGATTTACACCAGTTTTTAAAGCTCGATAGTCTATAAATAAGTTAATGAGCATAAACGTCCCTACTTTTTGTTGAACCTTGCAGGACTTTTTCTATAAGGAGAGGTTTTTTATTTGAGTTATGTTGAGCCATGTTGTAGAAATATCCAGAAATGTCCTTCTACTCTTGCAGGAATGGTTTCAGATCATCAGGGCACTGCAGCTCCTAGGACTCCCTGAGGATTCTTTAACTTACCCACACTGCGCTTGCTGGGGTCCAGGTATTCCAGGGAATACGTCTTTCCAAACCCTGGGACTCGAACATCCACGCCTGGAGGGGCATCGCTGGTGTGTGTGCTGCTGTTGTAGATCAGTCTACAGAGGGAGACATACAGACAGCCGGTGGTTGAAACTGAATCAGTTCTGCTTTTCTGCGGACCACCGCGTTTCGTTACTAAAACCTGATCCAGAACATTTCCTTTTTTCAGGCCCAGAGTCCACCACAATATTTGAGATGTGTGACAGCAACTTCTCCAACTGTGGTTTTTAAAGAAGTAAGACCAAGTGTTGCTGTTTCAACCTTCTAACTTAAAACAGTCTATGACACTGTGGTGGCATCAGCCCTCCTCTACGCTGTCAGAAAGAGACAAACTAGTGAGAAAGGCTGTTTCTGTCCTAGTCTGCACTCTGGACTCAGTGGAGGAAGTGGCTGAGAGGAGGGTGCTGTCCAAGCTCTTATTCATCATGAACAGTTTTCACCCCTTGTACCAGACTGTAGAGGAGCTGAGCAGCTCCTTTAGTGAAAGACTTTTACACCCAGTTTGTAAAAAGAAGCGTTACCGCAGGTCCTTCATCCCTGATACAACCAGATTCTACAATGAGACACTACAACGGCTATAACTTGTGCAATGCATAATGTGCAATTACTATTTGATACCCTGTGCAATAACTATATATATATAAATATCCATCTATATAAACACCCATGTAAATGCGTGTTTATATAGATGGATATTGATCCTACTATAAAAAAGCTGTCTTGTGGACACACTGTATAGAATGCTGTGAAAAGAGCCCCGATCACTCCTCATCCTTAAAATCATGTTAATCCATTAAGTATTTTGAATATTACATATTCTGATTTTTCCTCATCGCTGTTTTTGTAAAAGTACCAATTTAACTTGCTGATATTTAAAGGTTATATCTTTAAGATACATTCAATTGTTTTTTTTTTTACTTTTTCCTCTGTAATGCTGTTAATAGAAGAGTCACCTTCCCTCAACTGATTTCTCTCCTCATCAAGTTTCTCATTTCTTACTAACTGAGGTAAAAAAAATAAATATAAAAATCAGCTAAGGTCCAAAGAAAATCCTGACAGGCTGCAGGTGTGTAGATCAAGAACAGCTTGTAAAAGTCTAATAAAAAGTGTTGAAAAGGGAAGTCTGCCTGCATAAAGTCATAGCATAAAGAAGTTAAGGTTGGTTAACAGTCTTTGAGGAACGCTGCATCTCATCTAGGGCTGAACAATCAAAATTGCGATTATCGTTTACCAAAATTTCAACTGTTTTTATGTCGATTTTTCTTTGCAATAACCTCAAGCTTGTAAACGTTTCACCCCAGCTTTCAGTTTTAGAAAACTTGCTTGCCCAGAGATCATTATTTCAGGATTTTACTATAAACTTTTAGTGAAAAGGTGTGTGCTTCTACTTGCCTGCATGGTTCTGGATGCAAGCGGCAATTCTCTCTACTTTATGTGTGGCGACAGCTCCGCTTTAAGCGTTTTACCACCACCAAAAGGGCTGGTGTCTTTCTCACGTTATATATAGTGAATAGAGATAAGCACCTCTGCGATTTAAAAATTGCATTTTGTTAAATTGCAATTATATTGCAAAAGCAATTAATGGCCCAGCCCTAACCTCACCGCAAAGTTACAAAAAGCTTTACTTACTGGAAATAATCCAACTGCCTCCTTAAGCCCTTTTCACCACAAAGAAGCTCTAAAAACTGCTTTGAAAACTAAAGGTGACTAATCTATGACAAAAATCCTACATCCGCTTTTGAAAAGAGATTCCCACCTGATGTTATCTATCCAGCAGTCGATGGCGTAGGGGACCAGCAGCTCCAGGTTGAGCCACAGAGTGAAGAAGTTTTCTGTCTTCTTGTAGCAGATGTAGTGGACCACGCTGGGTTTGTCCAGCTTCGCCTCCAGCTGGTTCCCCAGATCCCCGGGAACTGCAACAAGAAGAACCCAGCGTCAAAAACCAGAAACCGATCAAACATTCAGCTCCGAATATTTACAACCCAAAAACATGGGATGTAAAAACATCACTGGGTGTTTGTCTATATAACACAGAAATACATCTAAATGCTCAAGAGAACCAAATCACTGCTCCAACATTAATCTGAAAGAGAAAAAATATTTGTCAGAACTTAAGAACTGCATAAAATGTAAAGAACTTTTCAAAATAGGACTAAATTAGATTCCTGTGCAAATTACATTTTAAAGAAAATAACGAGTACAGAAACAAACTAAAGAAACAAACCCAATAGAGATAAAATAATGCCTTGTGTATCAGTGAACAATACAAAACAAAGTAAAATTGATCATGTGACTACAGCAGCAAAAAAGAAAAAAAAATGCATGAAATCCCTGCATTGGCTCATTGAAAAAAACATGAAGGGGATTTAGAGGAACAAGCCTGTCATCTGAAGCAGGTCTAACCTGATTTTCATGCACCTTAATAACAGAACTAGCATGCTATTTAGTCAGGGTGTGAAACATCCTGAACTCATGATTAACTGAAATCTTAAACCGTTTCACTTCGAGAACAAATTTCAGCTGTTGAGGACTTAAAATTACAAGAATCATAATTTTTACTTTAAAACTGAAAAAATGAAGAAAAAAAAGAACAAATGAAATAAACACAGCTAAAAATGGTTGTTTTTTTCCCCCCTATCATTCATTTTCCTTTTGAAAATATTTAACAAAAAAAACCCAACAAACATCTGAGACGTATTTATTTGCTAATTTTCATTTGATATATTAGTGATTTTTATTTATTTTTCTATTATAAATTTCTGCATTCATTCTTTTGTTGTTTTTGTTTGTTTTTTCAAACCCTTTACAGTTTAATATCTGAATTATATTCCCACGCTAGTTTCTCTATTAGTAACTAACTCTCTTCCACTCTGCATTTTGTTTTGACACATTTTGCTCCAATCATTGCTTCACTATGCAGGTTGCAGACTTCTGCTGATCATGAATAACTGCAACCAGTTAACATGAAATCGACTCACTGTTTTCACTCTATTACATCCATAAGTGGCTTAACTGCTGTTCTGCTGTACATATAATCATCAGTGAGACTTTCGTCATCCTGACGGATTTATGCAACAGCAAGTCAAACACAAAGCCAACATGTCTGATAGTATGCATTGATCTTAGAGTCAAAGGTTGCTGCAGGATTTTTCCACCAACTGCTGCTATCAGAGCAAATCCTAAAATACTCAGAATTATCTCCCAGAAAACAGACGGTACATTGATCCCAGTTATGAAAATCATCCTCGATTTAACAGTGACTGAATAGATTGATTCATTCCCTCAAAAAAAAAAAAAAAAAACAAGATTGTTTTGAGTTCTTATGAAAAAACATCTCCTAAATGACTAGTTATAGGAGGTTCATTGGGCCATTATTTAACTTTTGTGAGTTTAATCAAAAAACAAGCTGTAGATCAGAGCAGCCACACAGAGTCCTATTGAGCTCAAATATTCAAATAGAGTCTGTGGTTTGAACAAACACAGATAAACTTCTCCAAACTCAACACCCCAACCACTGACTGAGAGGACTTTCTTCCCTAGGGAAAGACATAGCGGAGCGATTAAGCTTTAAGAGTTTTAACATGGATCAGAAAGGAGAAGAAGCGGGGCTGAGTAGTGCTGAAAGAGTGGAAAACTCCCATGAAACACAGTAAGGTAATCAGGAGGGTTGAGTGGCTACTGTGCTGAGTGCTGTCATATGACCACAAGACTTCTGGACTCTTTAAAGCTCACACAGGATAAACAAGTCCTGAGTCATCCGTCATGCCTCTGACGTGTTTTTACTAGGGAGAACCCTGTAAAGCTGAGAAGAGCTTCACTATACATCTGATAAATAAACAGAAAAAGGGTGAAAAACAGATTTAAAATGATCTTTACAAAGCAACGTGTGAGTTTAAAAGGTTTGTAGCAGAGTTAGCAATAAAAACAAGTCAGAAAAGAACTTCAAAAATGAAGCATTTTTGACACAGACTTTTTCCAAATGAAAAAAGTAATAAAAAAAAATCACAGTAATGTTGATAAAACAGTTATTGTCTGCAATAAAAAAAGTTAATGTATGAGCTAAGGAACCTTTTTATGTCAAACTGACTCTCAGATCTTGTTAAAGGAGAAGTCCGGTCATATTAAGAATTCAAACTTCTGAAAGTACTTTAAATATGAAATTATTACATACTGTTCAACAAATTATACATGGTTTTAATTAAGAATAATTGTCATTTGAATGTTTTTTACTGGAGGCATCCATGTTTGTCAAAGAACACTACTGCCACCTACTGGTTTGTGACATCACGGTGCGTATCGGTTGTTGATCAAGTCCCAGTGCTATCTGGTGTTTGTAACAACTCACTATTATCCAAGTCACCTTGAAAACATTCTTCTTCCAAATGTTTGCTACATATAACATGTCTTTTCTCTGACCAGAAGTTCAATGGCAAATCTTCCCCCTTCAAGTTGTCAATCCAGCAACGAAGCGGTGGAGGATCATGAATCGGAAAGGTGAAATAACATTTTTTTTTTTCACTTTTACCTGATGTATTACACAATTTAAACTGCCATGCACATGGGCATTGTCAGTTAATCTATAGCTCTGGTGAATTTCGATGGTGAAGTCCTCTAGAAATCTTAAATAATTATTGTTGATTGCAGATGTGTCTAGTAGTTCCCATTGATATTGCTTGTAAAGTGGGAAGAATGGCGCTATAGGCTTACCGCACTGTGACGTCACTGCTGGAAGATGTCAGGAGTTTTAGCAAAAATGGCTGTTCCCAAACTCAGTGATTGGGATGAAAATTATTTTTTTTATTTTTTTTACTGATTAACGCTTAATTCATTAAATCACAGTGAACATATTAGTTTTAAGTATATAGATAATGATCCGTTGATCAATCCTTGCTGACCGGACTTTTCCTTTAAGCAGCTTATAATCCCAACATGTGACCAAGTTTCGGTAAATGACAGAAGCTGGAACACTGAGGACTCATCAGTTGCCATTTCATCATTACAGCCATGACATATCAGCTTATAGCGCTCTGCATTTAAGGCTTTGCAACAGATTATTTTTTATCATATTTCATTTGACTGGAATTTCATAACTAAAATAATACTGGAAGATTTTGCCTCCCACCCAAGTTTACCTCACTGCGGTTCTGTTTCCCGTTCAACCCTTTTAGGGGGCCGAAAGCAGATAGGCACCAGAACCTCGGGGTCAATCTGCACTATTACAACAGGAAAATTAACAAGCAAAACATCCATATTTTCTAAATAAAGACTAACTATACTTTCCTACAGCCTTTGCTAACAAATAGACGCATATATTTAAACATCCATAATTTCTAGATAAAAGGTATAGTGGATAAAACTCTTTCAGTTTTCAGTTTGAGAGACAACAAGAGAGAGAGACTTGTTAAACTGTAACCATTCTAGTCGGCCTCCCACTGATTGATAGGATTTAATGGGCTTACAGCCAAACATTCTTATAAAAGGATAAAATTACTAAACAGAAAAAAGAACTTCAGATAAATGGATTCATATAAAAGCTGGTAATGAGGTGTTCAAAGTAAATAAAACTATAGAATGGTGGAGGTGCTCAATGATCAGAACCCGCAAAATAAGAGATAATCTATAAGATAACTATCATACATTTACTGTAAGTGACAACTTCCTTAGCATAAAGTAATACTTTTTCTTTGTAAGGAAAATGTAAAACTAAATGGAGCAATCAAAGCTTTTGCAAAGTTAATATAAAACCTGAACCAAATTTTTTTGCAAGAACACGTTGGCTGTTTACACCTGGGCTGAGTTATTATGGAACAATTACAGATTCCTTCACACTGTTTATGACACGAACCATTTTATTAAAGGTCATACAGGGCCGGCCTGAGGATATTTTCCTTCGCCCCTTTAGGACTTCACTAAAAATGATTTTGTTTCCAACCTTTGAAGGAAATCTTTATCTAATAAAGCATAAATGAATCCAGGTCTAGGCTGTGCACTCAGTGAAATACTTTCTTGTTATTGGAATCCAGGACAAGACCTTATTAACTTTGTAACATTCAAAAAATATGGATATTTTGATGGCAAAAATTCATGTCAATGTAATAACAAGAAACACCAACTTGACAGAATATATTCAGACAAATAACAAAATTGCTTCAATAAGGAATTCATACAAAACACTCAGAGAGAAAGAAAAAAATTTATTGGTCCAAAATAAGGCTTAATGCTGATACTGGCACTTACATTTTTTAGATTATAAACCCAAATTTAATTGTTAACTTTGTTTATTAACTTTACTTTTTTACTTTTCAATTAACTTTTTACCTTTTTTTCTTGACTTGTAAACTTTTTATTTTCAACTTAAAAGGTAATATATCCTTCAAGGGCTAATCTAATTGGTCTAATTTGTTAAATGGCTGGATATACATTTTTGTGCTTGTAGACCTCACTAAGGAACAAGGGAACTCCATTTGTATAGGGTAAACAAGTGATGAAAAATGGTAACTTGCCCTATAAAAGGGTTAAGATTATTTATATCACTCTTTTGGTTTTTTTTAAACAAACACAGTAGTGATATAAAAGCAAGCTGTGTTCTAAGTCAAAAAGGTTTAAAGGTTCTTTAACTCAGGTGCAAATTCCAAGCCACAGAATAACCAACATACAATTAAAACAAACCCCTAATATTCTACTAGTCACAAAATTGCAGTTCAAAAACCATTTTTATCAACTATTTACTGACATTTTAAAATATTTCAATTTATGTTTACTGGTGTAAACTGAAATGTAGTCATCTGATGTATAAGGTGTACTTAAAGGCTCCCTGATGTTGAGCGCGTGTAAACAGGCGCGTGGCAGAAGAACTGATGTCAACACAGTTCCTTTCTGAGGATCCTACAACTGGATCCATCTGATCACAGGGATAATCATCAAAAACAGAGACAACAGAGCCAGGGACGCTACATGATAAACAACAATCAGGCGAATATGGTGGAAAATGTCCCTTTTCATATTTACTGCTGGATTTGACACAAGAGAAAAGATAAACGCCTTACTGAGAACGACGGGGGGTCTCTGGCTCTGACAGGACTTGTCTTGAAGGCATGTCTTCGCTGGTCTTCCGTAGCTCAGCTCCAGAACCAAGAAGAAGCCGATGCAGAAGGCTGTTAACCGGTGCCAGCCCGCCATGGCTCCCGATGTGTCATAGCCGTTGGTCGCTGTCAGCTCCTCTGTGTGTGTCAGCAAGCTCTGCCGCCAGCTGTTTCTGCTGCTGGTTAAATCCCTCCGATCATCTGATCAAAACGCCTCAGATAACGATAATTATTTAACAACTGCTGGCGGTAGTCACGAGGTACAGACTGCAGAGCGAATCAAACCGCAGGCCTGAATAATCGACCACAGATCAGATCAGTGGGCGGGGAGGGTTCAACTTTTAACATTGAGCTCCCAATAATCGATACAAAGTGGAGTTTTGGAGTAAAAAGCAAACAGTAAAACTTCTGGAATCTGCTTTTATAATTTCAAGAGTTAGTTAAGGAAAAGCAAAGTATAACGAGCATCCAGACTTTGATGATCTACAGAATAGTCTATTAACCTGTTCTGTCTTTATCAGGGGCGGAGCTAGATGGGGGGCAAGGGGTGGCCATGGCCAATCATAGGCCACCCCTACCTCCTCTAATACAGACAGTGGCAGCAGTAATACTCTGAAGGGGAATGTTCATACTAATTAAACATTAAATTTTTTCATATATTAACAGCTACTTTACACCAGAAACACTGCAGTTAATTATGCACATCAATTTACAAACATTAAAGATGATATTTGCTCTTTTCAGAACAAAATTTTGAATTATTTGCGGTAAAGATAAAATTATGTGCCTCTGCAAGTCATCTAGGAGTCTTCAGTGAAATCATATATAAATAAATACTTTAATAATAAAATAAAAATTCATTATAATTCATGATTATAAAAGTAGGTAATGACAACTGAAATATTTTTGCCCCAGAACTCAAACCTGAAAGAATTTTGTCCACTACACCTTTTATTTACACAGCATAGATGTTTAAATATATGCGTCTATTTATTAGCAAAGGCTGCGGGAAAGTATAGTTTGTCTTTATTTAGAAAATATGGATGTTGAGCTTGTTCCTGTTGGAAGAGTGTAGATTGACCCTGAGGTTCTGGTGCCTTTCGGCCACCCCTCAATGTTCATTGGTTATTGACTGGCTGACCCTATTAGGATTTTCTGGCTACACCTCTGGTTTTTACATCTGCAATTTGCCAAATATTAGCTTTGACAAAAATACAGGACCTCCTTAAAATAGAATTTAATTCCAATGCTGACTTTCCTGCTTAAGTGATGGGTTGATAATTCATGATCATGTTAATACTTTTCTCCAACCCCCTCCTTTTTTCTTATTTATATATATATTTATCTACTAAACAAAAGAATATACCGTAGTTGATGTTAAAACTCCCCCTAACCAATAATGATATCTGCCACAAATGGAGTGTCCCACAGACCCGTTTGTATCCGACCTGACGAGCTGCTCAGCATCTGGGGCGAGAGCAGACCTGAAACAAAAAAAGACAGGGTGCGTCCCTAGAGGTCAAAAACCATAACAACTGGGAAAATGGAAACTTTTATAGCACCCTAGTTTTATAATCAGAATGAACTCTGAATCAGAGGGGTAGCCAGAATTTTTTTATAAGGGTAGCCAGGCAATAACCAATGTACACACTGGCACCAGAACCTCAGGGTCAATCTACACTTTTCCAACAGGAATATTAGGGAGCAAAACATCCATATTTTCTGAATAAAGACTAACTATACTTTCCTGCAGCCTTTTCTGACAAATAGACACATATATTTAAACATCCGTAATTTCTAGATAAAAGGTGTAGTAGATAAAACTCAGTTTTGAGTTCTGGGGCGTAAATCTTTTCCATTGTCATTACTTACCTACTTGTATCAATAAACATTCTGCATAAAATTAATATTTACAAGCACTAATATCTACATAAGTTCATTATTTGATAAGTTTTTATTAAAATTGTTATTTATCTTTGATTTCACTAAAGACTCCCAGATGACTTGCAGAGAGACATCATTTTCTCTTCACCCCATAAAACACAAAATGTAGCTCTGAAAAGAGCATGAATTCTGTACTTATCATCTTTGATGTTAGTATATTGATGTTTATAATTAGCCACAAAAAAATTTAATGTTTTGGATATTCCACTTGAGAGAATTACTGCCTCCACCATCTGTATTTGAGGGGGAAAAAATGGCAGGGGTGGCCAATGATTCGCTAAGGTTGGCCATGGCCACCCCCCCCCATCTAGCTCTGAATAAACAAACATTTAAGGAGATTATTGTAAAATACATTCTAAATCTCAGTGAATTTATTTTCTTGTAAAATAAAACAACATTTTTTTCCAACTTTAAATGTAATAATTTTAATCTATCCTAAAAGAGTACAGTATTTATTTATTTATTTTTGTAATTGTCCATAAAATGAAATTTGAGTCAGGAAAAGCAGTGAGCTTTTAGGTTTCCTTTTTTCTTTTAGGTTTAATGCATCCTTTATTTTAAAGTAAACATAAGAAATATGTTTCTCAAGTTTAAACAACCCAATTGTTCTCAAGGTTACGTTACTCTAATACAAAATCTGTTTCAAAATCTAATCACCTTTCAAAATAGTAACAGAAATCAACAGAACATTACAGGTATCCTTCGTCTCAGTTTCCAACAGCAAAGGTTAAATTTCCCTGACTTTATATTGCAGCAACTCTTCAGCCCTAAACCGATTTGGTAGATACAAGTGCAGTTATTTTTTTAAATCAATAATCCAGACTTCTCGTAGGCATGTTCTAAAGCTCATTTTCTTTTTTGAAAGACAGTTTTTTTCATTCAGATTTCCAACAAAAACCCCAAAACCTTGCGTAAAAAAATATCATTAACTATCCGAAATATAGATTCATCAATTTTAATAAAATGTCCACCTTTGTCTGAAGTATCCCCAAATAATGATGCCACCACTACTATGTTGTAGCGTGGCTTTGTTTGTCTTTCAGTGATGTTCAGTTGTTCCTTTCATCCCAAACATACCTTTGAGGATGTCCCAAATGTTCCATCAGTCCTAAAAACAGGTTTAAAGAGATCTCAAACTGGCTGGGAGATTCTTTTTTTTTGAGAAAAACCTTTCATTTCACAACCCCAGCTCCTTATTCCCCACACCTGGTTGAGTATAAGAGGTTGCTGGATTATAAAACCTCACAAGAGATTCAAACTCCTGCAGCTCATAAATGCTGTTGTGAGTTTTCCTCATTTTACCTCCTTACTTATCAGTTTTACAGAAATGTTCAGTATTTTAAAATCAATATTCTTTCTCCTAATTATTGTCTTCACTTCATATTGTATACATTACTGTGGATATTTAATATTTTGTAACTTCTCTGCAAACTTTGCCTTTATTTAATGATTTTAAATGTTAAAAATCATACTTGAGGGGAATTTTATCAATTTAAGTTAGTCTATAACTTTCTACATAGATGAACTCAAGGGGACTGTAGGAACAATAAAATGTGCCACAATAGATTATTACTACCAGGATGTGCAAACATCTGGAGTTGCTACATTTTATCTTTTCACGTTTCAGTTGAACAGATGTTTTCATTAGTTGAATGTACATTGTGTTACGTTAAAAGTAGAAAAAACATTTCAAAATTATAACTAGCAACCAAACAGGTTCTTATGTTTAAATAAAATGGCCTATTTTACAAAGGTGTATACTTTTTTCAAATCCATTGTAAAATTCTGTCTAAAGGGTATAAAATGTGGCATCATGAGTGCAGCAGCAGTGGCAGTTATCTGGTGGTTTCCTGAGCATCCAACAGTCAGCATTAGACTTAAAAACACATTGCATGGTGTGTCTCCTCAGTCGTACAAGGTTGTATGCTGTTAATGCCTGCCATGTAGAATCCATGGTGGAACTGCTGGGAACGCAAGGGCATCAACAGTCATTGCTCCTCCTGCAACATGCTAATCTAGTCTAACCAACCTACTCTGTTTAGAAACAGTCAGAATTAACAGCTGTACAGTAGATGGAAATTTTGAAAGCGGGTGCTAAGGCTCTGAAGAGATGGGTCTCCTGTACGTGGTAATCAAGCACCATGTTTAACCGAGTATGGCTATCTCTGGTTATTCAGAACCTCCATGTCTGCGTTTTACAAAACAAATCCTCTACATACCTGCTTTTGTTCTGCACACGCACCACATCCAAATTGGATCCGTTATCCTTAAAGGAAGGAATTATCTTTGACAAAACACCAAGCTCCACAAGGATTGGCACCCCTGGTAAAATTATGTAAGATTAAAACTGAATTCATATTTTACAAGAGGAGCACATACATTCATACGGAAATATTTAAAAATGTCGATAAAATGTTTTAGTTTTTAATTAACTTGCAATCGATAAGGTTTAATTCTGACTTGACAAAACACCACTCCTTTTAAAATAGGAAAGATGAGAGAACTTGCTCTGATGTGTGATAAACTGTAAAACTTAGAAAACTGATTCATGGTTTAAATAGTCACATTTATTTAACCTTGACAAACAAGGTTAAATAAGTAAAAAAAAAAAAAAAAGAAAATACCTACTGTTCAAAGACTACAGCAAGGTGTTTGAAAACTCCTCATTACAAGGGATGCCAAGGTTTGAAAAGGATACCATAGTGCATTATAAGCTACTGTACATATTATCTAAACACTTACAGCACATTTGTGATGTGGATTTTTTTTATCTCTTTTGTATCTTTAAATCTAGACTACACTGAAACACACAAACATTTGTTCTAGTTAAAAATAAAAGAAAAATACATCTTTAAACTTCAATTCAAATGTGAAATTTTGATTTGAGAGTCCTTTCACGGTATCAAAAGACCAGAGAAACAAGAAAATAGTCTGAAGTCATCTGATCTTTACACTGACTCAGTCAGCTCTACCTCGTCAAAAACATACATCCAAAAGAAAGCATACACAATGAAAACAGTTGTTACCTTTAGGTTGGTTGAATATATGCTTTAAAAATAACAGGCATTTGATGCATAATCTAAAAACGTTCACACTGTAGATACATGGAGATACACAGAGCACAGATAAACTAAAACCCCAGTTTAAATGAGAATAACAGAGTTAGACCAAAGCTGAACTTAGTGACCAAACGTATGCTTGTTTTTACATTTATACAGAGGAATCCAGCACTCTTAAGGTTATATTAAACACATCAGTGTGATGTCTGTTATTTACCATCTAACCGGACATCAACCTCTGCGGGTACATCAGATTTACCCTCCAGGATTTGCTGGATTTGATTGAGCACCTTTTCATGGAACACTATGTCCAGGTGGGGAAGACCCTTGTACTCCGTCACATGGACGGGCTTCTCCTGCTGCCCCACCCAGCGCTTGCACAGGCTCATGCTAAAGCTGTCCACTGTGTCATCCCCATCTGCATAAACAAAGTCCACTGGGTCCCCATCAGGAAATTCGTTGTCATAAACATGGGTTACAGGCGTCGGAAGCCCCACGCCGTACATGCACCACACCTCAACGCCGGGTGGGAGGAGAGCGCTGGTGAGGTTCTTGGTGTCCTCCCATATGTGCCTGAAATCAGACAGAGACAATTTTACTTCTTTTTGAACGTTTTTTTTTTTCTGCTCCTCGAAAGACTCACAAGATTGTGATTAATCTGCAGCTTTCTCTCAGTACCAAATTTGATTTGATTAAAAAGCTTTCAAAAGTTACAATTTAAACCCCCCTAATAAGCCTGAAAAATAACAGCTGTTATATATATTATCTAAAGCATTTTATAAGACAAAATGCAGCATCTTAGCTTTACAAGAAGCTGCTTAATGCATTTTGGTAGATTAAAGATTAAAGGTCTTTAGCCAGCAGGAGGCACCAGAAAACCAGAATTTAATGCAAAATGTAGAAAATGTCTGTTTCCTTAAAACAAAAACTTAATTCCGTTTAATTTTAGATAATAAAAAAAACAAACAAACAAACAAAAAAAAAACTTAAAGGTATAGTGGTGGATTTTCACAGATTTTCGTAAAAAAAAAAAAAAAAAAGCACAACCCTGTACCTGCTCCCGGGAGGGAACGCCTATAAAACACGTGCAAGAGCATTACAAGAACCAATTTCGAGCTTACTTCCTAAAACAAGATTTTTAATTTTTCCACTATATCAGACTCACCACCGGTAAGTGAAAATGGCGACGAGCACGTAGGACGGCTTTACGTAAAAATATCTCCAGAATGATTGACAATTAAGGAAAACACTTATTTTGATGATCCCCCCGGAAAAGAACATCCTCCGCTATACCTTTAAAACCTTTATGTCATCCTGAGTTGAAACTTTAAATGAAAGTGCTTCAAGACTATTTATTTCTCTGAACCAATGTATTGATGCTTACTACTAAGAGGATTCACAGAAAAACATCAAGTGTCTGAATTTTAGCCAATTGTCAATTTACAATAAAGCACTTTCTATTTGACTCACATGTTAAATTTAAAAAGTTGTCTTTTTAAACCTTTAAAGACGCATATCTACAGTTTCATAAAGCATTCCTTTACACATAAGGAATGCCTTATGAAACTACAGCATTATTGCCCTGTAGCAAATTGTTCCTGGGTTCAAATCCCACAGTCTGTTCTGTTTACAGGCCTCTGCATGCAGAGACTCTCTCCAAGACAAATCCCTCCCTTCCAAAGCAGGTAACCAGGTACCAGTTTTCGAAAGAAGAAAAATTACTATCTGCAGAATAGCTCCACCAAACTCAGATTTAACAGAGAGGATATGTGAACATACATTTTTAAGTGACGATATTCTTAAGGGGATTTTTTGACTGCAAGGTAAAGTTATACAATTCAAAACAATTGTCTGCCTCTGTTGGAGACAATATCCCTAAAGCAAGATGCCACTGGAACATTATACACCGACAGTTTGCTGTGATAGCTTAACTTAAGCTAACCAGAACACCTTCTTTTACACCATTTTACAAAAGCTATGAACGGGACTACTTATATATTTTTCTTTCCCCAGCAATATTAACCTTCCTTTCCTAAGCAGGGGCTCTGTGATGCCCTTCTAGAGTTATCATGGTGTGTTTTCCTAAATGATGCTCTCATTTACCTTAAAACTGACAATTTAGGACTCCAAGAACTGCAAACCTACTAAGGTTGAAAAAGATAATTTAGTCATCTTACCAGGATACTCATGTTGGCAACTGACTATGTCTAAAACAGGCATATCAAGAAACATCCATCCTTAGAGGAGCTTAAAATCCAAAAATGTGATAGAATATTTAGCACTTGAACTACCTTTACAATGTTATTGATGCAGGAGAAGTTATAGCAGAGAAAGAGAAAAATATAAGCAATTTGTCTCCGACTATTAAGGTGTGTTTTAAAGGCAACATGTTGATTAAGGCTCTAACAGAGGCTGTAGCTTACCAGCCGTCCTCAAAGTTGATGTCTGTGAACAGACGCTTGTAGTCCCGATGGGTGTAGTTAAAGGCTGGAGTAGAGATGAAAACATGGTCCTCTGGCCAAACCTCGTCTGACGGCAGCAGCCAGGGATTGGTGGTCATAGTCCTCTGCTCCTCACGGATCTTGATGTTGGAAATCATGGGTATGCCGTCATTTTCTCCTGCAGTCAGTTTTAGAGGAAAGTCAAGAGGGTAGAAGTCACTCACTCACTGATTCATACCTGACTCAAAATGAACTTAGAAATATAAGGTTCTGGACCTTCACTTTAGATTAGATATTATCTCCAATTCTGCTTCAGCACACTTTACCTGATGTAAGGACTCTGAGCACTTTAACAGCGCCCCCCCATGGAGCTCCTAGGGAAATAAAACCCCTGATGTACTTGTCCTTCCAGGCCTGTGGCTGGTGGTTAAGGAAGTAGAGGACATAGTGGGAGCCCATGCTGTGTCCCAGTAGGTAGATTGGCTTCTGGTACTGGTTGTACATGTCCTCCACCAGGTTCTGCAGCTTTATAAAGTATGCCGCGTTCTCATCTGTGAGGAGAAGTGGGACATGATGGGTTGTTTATGCATCAAACCACCTGCTGAGCAGGGTCACTCAAGACTGTCCACCTGAAACTTTCTCTGTTGATGGAGAGGCACTGGAGTACGTGATTGTTTAGATAACCAGCTGATTAACTCTAGTTAGTGATGGACGGCATCTTCAGCACTACATGAATTTGTTTGAAACAACTCTGTGGAATGGCGGACTGGGTGGGACAATTATTTGCAATATCACAATTCTTGAAAGTTACAAAATTACATGCAACATTACCGGTAATCTTTGATCTTGTTACACTTAGTGAAAGTGCGACATATGTCACATGTCTGACTCCAGGTGGAGGTAATGCCCTTAAAGTGGGTTTGCTGCAATACAGAAGGGAGGAGAGAGCTACATCTAGTGTGTAGAACACTGATCCCTATTTATTCACTGGATTGCTGATAGGTTGTTGGTAGTACATGGTGCTGTGAAGACACCAGCCGCCATATTGGTACTCCCTAGTTAGTTAAACTATGATTTTCTCATTTTCAGGGGTGCTGAAGACTTTTAAAATAAAAGATAAATTCATCACTTTGACACACACTTGCTGTTTCCTAGCATCAGTAGATTACTGTAATTTATGATAAAAAAATTATGAAGTCTAAAAATCATTTAATATAACAGAAATCCATCAAAACAAAATTAGTGTGTTAATGGAGTATAATATTACTGTACTATTAAGAATATTACACATGCACACAGTATCTGATGGTGTGCCAAAAGTGCTAAATTGATAGTGTACATGTAATACACATGTATTGATTATATTGTATATATATTGATTATATAGTAATTACATTGCAGGCCTTTTTTATGGTGTGACTCAGAGATGGGAGCACAAACTGGCAGTAGGTCACTTGAGTTTTTACGTCCGATCAGCAATCCAGTGAATAAATAGAGATCAGTGGTGTAGACCTGTGCAATGCCAGCTAGAGGTAAGCACTTTTCCTTGCAACAACATCTAAGGGTTTTTCTATTACATTAAGTACCACTAAAACAGTTTTATACATAGACCTGCTTCCTCGATGTAGTGTTTGAGTTTAACCAGGCCTGATCTTAATCTTAGCAAGTTATTCTCTCAAATAGGTATATTTTGATCAATAAAGACAGCTTGATTTCGGCAATTGCGGTCCAAAATTAACCATATCCTTACTACTCACTTTTTACTGCAGTTAAAGTTGCATGCTTTGTTTTTTGGGATATCTTTTAGATTTTGTCTCATCCCTCAAAATTAAATGAATGTTAATGTTTTCCACTGGATATTTGCCAAATGTTTGCAGCTTGGACAACACACTGCTATGTCTGCAGATTTACATGTTTCCTTAAGATACACAAAAAAATAAATAAATAAAAATAAATATGTGTTCTGGGTAAAACCTCTCGGAGTGAAAGTTCCTGTGCAATTCTGCTCCTTACTTGGTGTTAATCTCCAATCGTAGGGCGCCCCGCGGACCGTCTCATTTCGGACGTAGCCAACGTTGACCAAATGTTGGACCATAGTATGAAAATAACCTGGAAAGAACAGAATTAGATTTGGTGTATTCTCAAAGGTTCTACTAAAATGAGGCAACATTAATCTAAAGAAACGATTTCCCATTTAGTTAACATCACATTAGAAATGCTTTCATGTAATTCTGTTTAAGTGATCTCACCGGCCAGTCTGTTGTAATCAAGAAACTCTATGGAGTAGGTCTCTCCAAATCCTGGTACTCTGACCTGCACCCCTGGGGAGTTGGAGGAGCGTCGAGTTGTCCTGTTGTAAACAACTCTAAAAGCAAAAAAGATTAATGTAAGTAAAAAGATAAATTCATGGAGTATCTTTAAAAGAACATGATTTTTTGCAGATTTATATTGAGAACATTAATAAGAAGGGTCTGCTTAAATATAACAGAAAAAGAAACAAAGAAAGGTTAGAAGGATCTAAAACAGGTGGAGGTTACCTGATGTTATCGATCCAGCAGTCCACACCTACTGGCATGAACATGTTAAGGTCGATCCACAGAGGGAACCAGTTTTCAGTTTTCTTGTAGCAGAACCAGTGAACCAGTGTTGGCTTGTCTATTTTGGCTTCAAGACGGTTCCCCAGGTTCCCCGGTACTAAACACAAAACATCAAGCATATCACAGTGTTGTATGAAATTAAAACAAAAAACAAAAACAAAAAACATCAAATGTAGAAAATAGGATCAGAATGTTTTAGTGGGGCATTATCAAAGCTGCAGAATATAATGAAGTGCAATCATGTACAAAATATCATAATAGCAAAATACTTTGGTGCACAATTGGTCATCAACAGCATCAGTTTACCAATACAAACAATACAGGGCTGTGAAATTGGATTCTTGTTTATACAGAGGTGTGAAAAACTGCTTGCCTTCTTGGTTACTTTTTTTTGGCACGTTTGTTATATTGCAATGTTTTAGGGCATAAAATAAATTTAAACACAAAGCTCTTAAATTTAGGTTTGTATTTTCAAAGGAGAAAAACCTTAAAAGCTACATGGCTCTTTCTGAAAAAGTCATACCCGTCTAAACCTAAAAAGTGGTTGGATCGATCTTAGCAGCAACATGTATTTCAGAGCAATTTAGAGGACTGTGGGCCACTGATCTTTGCAGAATTTTGTAATTCAGCCACACCATAGGGTTTTCCATCATAAACTGTCTTTTTAAGGTCATGGCACAGCATCTTCGGTCAGGACTTTGACTAGGCCACTCCAAAGTCTCCAAAGGTGGATTTGCTGGTGTGTTTCGAATCTTTGAAGCCACACCAATGCTTCGATTCTGCCAAACCTGTACAATCAAGAAATTTGTTAAACAGAACAAGAAGTATGCTACAAGGAATCTAAAAAAAAAAAAAAAAAAAAAAAAAACAGGCATAGGACCTGAGCTTTAAAGAGTCCAAGTGAGGAGAACCAAATTGTATGGGCAAAGCAACATTTGCAGTGCATTGGATACGATTTTAAAATGTTCTGTTCTGCCCTATTCAAATTGCATGCACTACTGGCAGTTGGACAGTAACCATAAAAAATAATTTTATAATTTTAATTTCTGTCATGGGGCTGGAATAAATAATAATTAAAATTGTTTATAGTGCACTTTACAAAGGGTGCATTCAAAATAGGTGAAAATAAAAGTTACATTTTAAAGATTAAATATTCCATCCAGAGCCTGTCAAGGTACATTGAGGAAGAAAGGATGCACACATCAGACGGGCACACCTATGAGGTGATGTTTGTTCTCTGGTGGCTGCAAATGTTCTGTCTTGTTTTTTTAAAGATGCTAAAGAAAATGTAACTTCAGTCGGGCCCCTCTAAGGGCTTGATCTTCAGGTCAGTGTCTTAAAACTGGTGCAAACTAGTTTGTACGCTCCGAACAGTTCTTTAAAGAAAGTGCAAAGTGATTTGCATTTGCAGTTTATCAGACAGCATACGCACCTTTTGTTTTGCATGTAAAAAAATAGAATACTAAAAGAGCTTGCAGAGAAGTGATGGAATGAAAGAGCCCATCTCTTACTCATCAAAACAGAGATTTTTTTTTCTTTCCTTTGATTTAATAAAACATAACCCTGCACAAAGCATGTTTTTCATTTTGTTCAAATAAATATTTAATATAACAAAATACTTTCTCAAATAATTATCATTATAACCTCCTTTTCAACTCCAATAACAATCTGCTTTAAACCTTTCCAGCTGATGTCTGTTGTCTCAATCTCAATTAATTTCTGTACAATTCTTCTGCAGAGAAGGTCTGTTGTAGACTCATGACTTTTTTTCCCTCTCAAAGCCAAGCAGTAGCTCCAGCCTGGTAAGCCAGTTTACTATAAGACAGCACCTGACAATTATTTTGCAAATCATTTAATCTGTCAATATTTTATTTTGATGCAAAATAATCAGATAACAAAAGGTATTTTTTTGTACTTGAATGCTAAATATATATATATATATATATATATATATATATATATATATATATAGTTTTTCAACTTTTGTAGAAATACTGCTCGAAGCGGGTTGCTCTGTCAGATTAAAGGGCAGATTATAATTCTGCAACCGCACACATCAAATGTGCTTGGGTCTGGTCGCAAACCAGTTTTGCTGGTATGCTTCTGCACCTTCGGTCTGGAATTTCTAGGGACGCACAGCAGTTTCCCACCAAAGCACAAGGGGGAGCCTATTCAAGAACTCGCAAGAACTTCAGCAGATGGCCATGAGAACTTCAGCAGTGCCGGCGGGAGTGTTTATCTTCCAAAACAACAATGGCATGTCGTCATAGTTGTCCATTATTCCTTGGTTTTTAAAAGTGGCGCGCCCTGGCACCGAATCGAGAAGGACGACCACACAGACAGCCAGAAAGGCAAACAAAGGACCAATCACAGCTGCTTTTTGTCTGCAAACTTCCGCTTGAAGTCTGCGCGGGTTTGCGACCGTCCAACACGTAGTCAGGATTTTTTTGAGGTGTGCGACATGGGAGCCTCTGCGCAGGGACAGAGACAGATTTGACAGTTGCAGAGGCTATGCGTCAGAAGCATAAATTGGCCTTAAGTCCCCACCATGCACTGTTCTCCCTGCTGCCCTTTGGTAGGAGGCTTCACAGCATTCGATGCAGAACCAGCAGGTTCTGTAACAGCTTTTTCCCTGCTGCCATCAGACTGCTGAACGGTTGAAACTCTAATCAAGTCAAAAATTGAGACTCTGCATCACACTTGTGAACACCATATTTGCACTACATGGTGAATTTTCAAATCCCTCTAAATAGAACTCAACTCAGTGTTGTACTGCATTTTGCACCATATTTATTTATTTATTTTGCACTGCTTTGAACCTTAATATCAATGCCTTTTGCACCATGTCTTTAATCTGGTTTTTGATCATTACTGCACTTTGTAAATGGAAATGTTCATTTCACCGCTAGGCTGCTCATTCAATTATGAAAAGCTGTATGCATCGAAATTTCATTTTGTATACACTCTCTGTATACAAAATGACAATTAATTTTGCCTAAGTCTAAGTCATGCTTTAGTCTCTATTCTCAAGTAATTATTAATTGATTACTAAATTAGTTGATTATTTTAATAATCAATTAAATGCAATTAATCCAAATATTTCAGCCCTAGTTTACTGGATGCATTACCTGCAAGATTCTGCATTTATCCTCTCCCTTTTCCAGAAGCCAGTCAACCCTGAATTTCAGAAAACTCTTCTAATCCTTTCAAACTGCAATTATGGACTTTGTCTTTCCTTAAATTCCACACTCTTACATATTTGAATGGGTGAACAAGATAAGCTTAAGTGGGAATGTGATAATGGAAAACAGGCCTGCAATGATTTTAAGAAGGCAACAGCAATATTTTTTAAAATATCATCAGCCCAAGTTTTATTTTGTCCAAGATTGGGTGAAAATTGGTTTCAAGAGTTGACTTTATCTTAATTTTTTTGGTGCTTTTTAATATATATTTTATGTCCAGTTACAGTTCTTGACTGTAAAAGCAGATTGTTGATTTTATGCAAAAAACCAAGGATAAGATATCTAAGCCCTTAAGAGAAGTGAATAACAGTAATGAAAGTGTTAGAATAATTTTTTTATTAATGACGTGTTTAAGAAACAGTGAAAACAAAACAACAACAAAAATCCATTAAATGTCTGACACAATACCATAGAACTGCATCATAATTTAGTTGATCATCTACTGAATCCCAGTTTACAGATATTTGGGATTGTGTCACTGCTTTATCTTTAGCAGCTCGTTCACTGAATGTAAACATCACTTGGTCAGCCGCCGAGTGTATGTATGTAGCAATTCATTTCTAAAAAAATGCAAGTAAGAGTTTAACAGCTTAATAAACTAAGACCTTTTGACTGAAAACATTTGTGCACTAAACTAAAAAGTAGCCCATGTTAAAATGACAGATAGTGACTCCTTTAAAAGATCACAAAAAGTTCAATCTCACGGAAAGAAAAAATTAAGGATAAGTCATGGCAATCTCCCAGAACTGAACTTTTAGACTTGTTTTTAACAAACTGCCCTTTGAGCTCTTGAAGAGTAGCTGTTATTTACCATTTGCTCTTAGCTGCCGCTTTTACATTTGGTCATAGTCCGAATAAGGTAGACCATTTCCCACAGTCAGATTTTCTAGCATCATAGTGTTGAATCCTGCTGGACCGGATCAGAATTTGACAATGAAAACACCATATGAAGTTCTGAAGAACTGTCTAGGTTGAACAAAGTAAAAGAGATATTTTGGTTGAAGCTTTTGATTAAACTTAATTTGAATATTAAATCAGCATTAATTGTCACACTCTGTCTATTCTCTCATATAGTTTTCGTCTTGGACATTTGCTTGAGAAGTTGAATAGACTCTGTTTAGGTGATATCTTAAGGAGATTAAAGAGTCATTATAAACATTTAAAAGACAACCAAAGTTGTTTCAAATTTCAGATCTGGCATGATTACTTACTCTTACATCTATCATGGCCTGGCAATATTTATAAATGACGAATGTTGGCACACTCTTTTGGATGGCGATCCGACTGCAGCACTTAAAAATTTTTTAAGCGGAAGTTTTAAGTTAATTAAATGGAACAACTTGTCATCCAGTAAACCACAATTAAACAATTAATTTGACAATAATTTTTTTGTTTGCATTCCTTATCAACATGCTTTGAGCAGCACCAATGGTCTTAATCTCCAAGTCCATGAAGGCTGGTTTCCTGCAACTTTAAAATGGAACTCTGTAAAGGTTTGGCCACCCACTAGTGAGGCAGGTTAGCATTCTTTTAAGTTTTATTGATTTATTACAAGGACAGTGAATATTAATAAACATGCCTGTAAATATGTGGATAAGACAGGAGGCTGTATTTCACGACTAGGGACATAGCTATCATTTTTTGTATGTTTTCTATAAATGCATGTTGTTATCTTGAATAATGATATTGCTATTTCAGACAGAGTTCTTTCATGTTATAATATCACACAGTTGGGTTGATAGTGGCACAGCACACAACAGTGATGGCTGAAGGCTTCTCAGAGAGACCATTCCTGTAGGAAAATCATGAGAAAACTTTTGGTTTGGCTCTAAATCGCGGTCTGACTTCCCACAGT